GGTTCTTCGTAAGGGCGGTTCGTTGCCACTTCAGCTTACTGATCCGTTCAAATTTACGTCTTAAAATTAAATTAAATTAAATTAAAAATCCTTACGTGGTAGAGCCATGCTGCAACTATATTATGGTTGTAGAACGAATGGATCGGCTCGACTGGAGTAGGACCAAGCTCTTACAGAATATTTCGTATAGTGTGTAGAGATCCGGAGACCCTTTATACTGAAAAGGAGGCATTCCATCTTAGTCTTTCATTTCTTTACTTGTTATTTCATTGGTCTTAGATAGATGTAGGTGTCTATAGATCACAGCATCCACTTAACATCAGCTGGACTGTGTGTTCGTTTGCCACACCCTTATCCTATGAAACGAAATTCAATTCACAGATTTGCTTGCTTCTATTTAAGTTAGACTGTAATGAACAGGCAACTGGATTGGATAAACAAAATAACATAGTTACAAATGGATATTCAAATCAACACGTCAATAAGGGATCGAAATAACTAAATTAAAACGTTAACTCACGATCCCAAGAAATGGTTGCAGCAAATGAAGAGCTAAACAAATACGAGTGCAACATTTATATTAATTGCGTCTTTAGGGTAACCAACTTTAATTTTCAACGTGTATACTATATATATGCCCTCGAAAACTTATAAAAAAGTACGCGTATAGATTGATGGATAGCTTAAGGAAAAGTAATTTGAAGGTTATGAGATGGTGAGAGTTAATATATTAGCGTTATATATATAAATATATTAGTATTGTTACAAAATATTTACACCGTAATAGTTAACTTAACTGCTAGTTACATTTTTAAAAAGAAAAGAAAAGAAAGCTCGTGCTGAGTTTTACATATTCAGATTTTTTAAATATTTAAATAAGTCAGTAATTTCTCCGTTATTTGCAGCCGTATTATAAACAATTACGGCTTTTAAATGGTCACCCTAACTTAACAAAGTTGCAAGTCATCTTTCTTAGAAACGGAACACCTACGTTCTATCTCATGCCTCTACATAAATAAATTGTAAAAAATCACTATTTTGAACCTTATGCATTCAGAAGAAAGGCCAAAATAAATGACGTACCTATCATAATCTCAGTATAGATGTATCCTTAATGTTGGCGCCAAAATTGACTTGTATTGTCAAAGTGACAGCTTTTTGGGTGGCAACAATTTAGTAATACTTAAAACTTTTTTCTTTAACCTATTATTTCTTAGAAGAAAAAAAAATCAATTTTAGAAGCTAACTTTCAGAAATTATCATTGTTAACATATTTGGTTACAAGTGATAAAATCACATGACTGTGTCTAAGTGGGTGTAAGATTCTCGAACGCGTGAGGTGGAGATCCTTTAAGCCGTACCCAAAATGTCATACCCCTCGACGACGAGAAACAACAATCATTTAGAACTAAAACAAATAAGTGGATGACGTACTCGTGTGAAGAGTGCGTGCGAGGAAACACGAAACATTATGCACAAGAAGATTGAAAAGAAAGTACTTGAGAGGAGAGCGTCCAAGCCTCGCCGGAGAGCAATAAGCAACGCCCGTCGTCGAGGCCCGTTCATTAACTCTCGTCTAGTTCATAAATAGGCAAGCGGTGACGCTTCTGAACTTTATAGATAAATGTTTCAGTTGCTTAGTATCGTGAATTATTGATATTGAATTTTTTAAAACGTTACCTCCGTACTAGGATTTTCTCCTGTATCGTGAAGGCAGTTAACATACATAAATTCCACAAGTACAAACATCCAGAACCATACATATATTTGTTCCGTGCGGGATTCGAACCCACGGCCCACAATCCGCAACCCATTGCTAAGCCACCACGGAGCCGCCAATTATTCGAGCATCGAACGTTCTAAAATCGAAAGCTTAAATAGGTAGGTCTTTTGTGTCTTTATTTTTTTAATATTTTTCTTAGACACTTAAGAAAATATTACAATATAAATGAAAACACTGTTCTTTGATTGCATTCCCACCACTTGTCTCTGTCGTCCACACTTCTACTGTAAACATTGAAACCAAACGCTGGTTGCTACATCGAGATATTTGTTATTTTAACGGATCTCATAAATGTATCGAAAACAAAATGGTGGATATTTATACTCAAATGTATCGCTATTATATAAACAAAATGGCGGATATTAAAGCGCGAATTTTCGTAGCGAAACGGCGTGAAACTCCGGTCCGGGGCGGAGGGGAACACATCCATTTCAAAGAATAAACACGGAGGAAACTCTCTCGATGTATAAATAATAAATAAAGAGTATATTTTGCTGCGTTTAGAGCGCTCGTAGACAAAGGCTGCCCGCTTCGTGGGGCAAACATCGCGTTCTGTTTATTCTTTCGTCATTAAGGTGGAGTGTTGACTGTAGTGTAGCGTACTCTAGCGCTAATTTCAGGGAGGTCATCTTGACTAAAGTTGAAAAAGGTAATATGTAAGGATTAAGTTTTATCTATTGTAAAATGAATGTGTCATACGTACTAATGGCAATTCATTTACCTAAATCTATGACTATTGATTCTAAAGCTATGAGATTACAAACGTTAAATTACAATCAACTACCTAGGTACTTACTACAGAACTGATGAAACAATTGGCATGGCCTTAAAGTAGTGTTAACAGTGATGTTTTTTACTGATCTACAAGTATGTTGTCGCTTTTATGTTATTTTTAAAGGATAATGAACTTTTGAATCTTACTTATTAGATATCCTTGAATTTTTAGCAGCAATTTAATGACTTGCTTTTAATACTTAAAACCGAATCATACAAAAATTTTAACAACTTCATTTCATTTAATATGTTTATTAAAAAAAATTCAATTATAATTATAAATGTACCTACACTTTGCACGACTGTACTCAAATTTGTCAAGATTAATTAAACCATATTTGATCGATTTGATTAATCTGTATAGTTTTTCTCTAAACCTCAAATTCACCTGCTGGCAGTGCATCCAGCTGATTGAACGAGACTTTGGCAAGCGAGTTATCATCATCATCATCAGTGCAGTCCTTCTTAAGTCCTCTGCTGCACATAGGCCTATGGTTGGGCGAATTGAACTCACTTTACTTTTACTTTTATTTAACAAAACTAATGTATATTGTCATCCAGAACTAAGTACATCAACATTAATTAATAGCATCATGCGTTACTTTGCAGAAATCCATTATAATAAAAATTAATTAGCTAAGATACTGAAGCTGGAAGCCATCTAAGAGCTGGAAGAGCACCTCCTGCCTTCCTTCCATTGCATCGGGAAAGGATCACATTCTATTTTATGGCATTGGATGACAAATAAGCACACAGTCCACCTGTTGGTAAGAAAAGATGCCCCATAGACATCCACATTTATTCTCAATTAAGAATCAAAATGCAATTGTGTTGTCACCCTGAGGACTAAGATGGAATGCCTCGTTTCCAGTAAAAAGGGTCTCCGGTCCTCTACACTCACCACACGAAACACACACAATTTTCGCAGAATTGATTCATTAAAATCATTACAGCCCTTGCTCACTACTACTACATGTCCACTGCTGGACGTAGGCCTCCGCCAAGGAATGCCACAACATTTACAAGCACTAAATTAATTTGGTATTCTTACAGAATACCAGCGTAAAATAGCAGCACTCACTATAACAAACACAGTAGATAGCATTCGTATGGTTAGTGTAGAAAACCGAAGACCGTTTTCACTAGACGCATCTGTATTTTGGTCCTTAATCAACGATAAATATAAGTGTTATAGGCCATAGTTGAGCGTGTGCTCGATTGTCACCCTAATTAAATAATTATATAAAAAGTTACCTTCAGGCAATTTTGTCAAGTGAACAAAAGGAAATAGACTTAGTAAAGATGCATTCTGTGATTCGTCCCACGATTAGGCATTAGACTCCTTTCATATCTGAGAGGGTTAAGGAGCAGTTGGACTGCCGCATTGCTTCACTGACTTTCAATCAGTATTGTGTACGGGTAATACGGTCACCTTAAGTTTTGCTACACTATAAACCAAAACTAGGAGGCGGAGAGAGACAAACAGATAAAGACGTATATTTTAACTAATATATTAAGAAACTAATAGCAAACAAGCTTTAGCAGTAATTAGGAAAACTTCGAAAATTCTACTTAAAAAAACTAACGTACTCTATACAATACTAAAATCGACTAAAATAGTTACTATAATGTCAACTGTCAAAATGGCATTGATAAAACAATGGGTGCGTTTGGCAGTATAAAGAGCTAGTAAGCGCTTGTAAGCAAAATGGCGATCGTAAGCGGTAAGCGCTGTCAAATCGTAAGTAGCTATTTTTCTCTAGGACACAAGATTAGTTTTAACCGGGGAACCTAACCTAATTTAAATATATGTTTGTAAAGTATTCATATTAAAAACTAACCAATTATGAATTTTTAATAACATGTATAATATGTTTATTCATGTCATTATATTACTTAAAACTAATATTGCTCAAAACAACTTATAAACTCTACTTCAAAACAAACAAATTAAATAAGCAAAATGGCGGATTATGTCAGCGCTAATGAAGTAGCAATCGCGTCCTGGCCGAAACCTGTTTCAGCGCTTGTAAGCGCTTGCTAGCGCTTTTTTCTGCCAAACGCACCCAGTGCCTTTTCGACCCTTTATTATTTGATTGACTGATGAAGAGTTATCGTATTACAAAGCCAACTATGCAAACAAGGTTGTAGTTTTTGTGTTATAAGAAAGTGAGCATATTAACCGGATGACCATATTATCTTCACGTAGTTACTATAATTATTAATATTGAATAAAAATCATTTTATCCTATTTTATTGCGTGCTGGCTGGCGTCTTTGAAATATCTTATCCTTCACACGTGCCGGTTTCCTCAATATGTTTTCGTTTACCGCAGAGCACGTTGTAAATTAATAATTTAATATTTACAACAATTAACAATTTCATTTGTACCCACGAGACTAGAGTTGTAGCTTACAAAAATTGATCGCTGTGTTTGTTGCAGGTCAAAATATGGTTTCAAAACCATCGCTACAAGTGTAAGCGACAGGCGAAAGAAAAGGCAATGGCGGAGCAAAATCAACACAATCAGGTAATTGTAGAAATATACGTAGCGAATTTTGTCCTCTCTTGTGAAGGTCTATCGATATACCTATCGACAATGATACCTATTATATCATTGCCTGCCGATATATTATCTGCGCCCGTTTAACAAAGTTTAAGCCAAGGTAAGGTCCTACCTATTTTAGTTATCTGAAACTTAAAAGAATTTACGGGAAAATGTAAATTTTTCTTCGTGTGCCAATATACACCGACCGATGGCAAAAATCTATAAAAATTAGCTTTATACTGGCTCTATGTTTTTGTTTATGCTTTGAACAGTTCAATGAACCTTAAAAACTAGCACACTCATTAGTAGATACTTCACAATGGTTTGTTGTTTGTTTTTCATGTATTTAAAATTGATATTAGAAAACATGTATAAGATTTCTTAAAAAATAGAAGCTACGAACTTAAAGTATTAATAAAGTTTTTATTTTCGTAATCTAAATTAAATGCACAATATTAATCGATTTCTCTTGAATAATTTCGTATACCTATATAATGGTTAGAAAAATCTCCACCTCTATTTAGCTCCGGTACAAATCTTTTTAAATTTCAATACCGGTAAACGAATAATGAATATTAAATGCTCGCGATAAAATCATCTGCTGACGGAGCAGCGGGCCCCTTGTTTGGTCGCGACAGACTTTGCCCACTCGATGGCAATCTCCCGACCGATGGGAGAATACGGGCCGCGGAATCTTGCAACCCCACATTTATTTTAATTTCTTTTTGCCCCTAATAGCCTGCAAATATGCGCAGTGTTACCGGAGCTAATAAATATAGAATGAATAAAAAATGTATTTTCTAAGTTCCGTTTACGAGTATGTGACAAAGACATTCATAATTCATAATTCATAATTATTTATTTGCATCATTACTAAAGCAATCATTACTAAAGATTATTTTTAAGTTAAGCAAAGATTATATCAAAGAGTTTTTAATTTATTTAGAAATGAATTGTTATCCCGCCCGTTGTTAAAAGAAGGCTGTATAAGAAGAAAATATGATAACAGTGACTTTTAAACTACTTAATATACTAGGTAGTTTACTACTAGGTAGAGGGGTCCCATTCTGCCAAGGGTTCCGTCTAGTGTGATACGATGGAGAGGGAGTTAGCACTTGAGCAATTAACAAATCGCTAAAGCCTCTAATTATAATAGGGCTACAAATGGATCTCGCTCATGGAACGATTTATCGTAATCTTCATGCATTTTTGGCGGCGGATCCTTGACGGCAGTAAGTCATCTCTCACCTTTAATGCTGCTCCCCTCAGTTGGTTTTGTTTTAAAATAAGGGTGTGACAGGCGAGCACACAGTCCACCTGATTGTACGTGGATACTGTGGCCTATAGTCACCCACATCTGTCATCGATTTAGAATAAAAATACAGATGAGCTGTCACCTCTGAACACTTCTCTACAATCACCATACGAAACACAACAGTAATAAGCTGCTATTGGATATTTTACATGTGCGATTAATAAGTCAAATCTTTTGACAGCTGTGAAATTATTTGGAGTGAAGGCTTCCTTTTGCCGTCATCACACGGCGAGATCATTAAATTTAATTTTATTTCTGTATAAAATAGTGGGTTCATAATAAATATGAAATGACCTTTAAAATAAATTCAAGTTTTCAAATATGGTAGAGCCACGCTGCAGATAATTTTGGTTGCAGTACGAATGTGTTGGCTCTAACGGGAAAGGACTAACTAACCTGGAGAAGCTTGTTTACTAATAACGAGGCCATTCTATAGTCCCTAGGCCTAACAACGTGCCTACATTTCCATTCCTAACTGAGGATAGATGTTTCTATTGGTCACGGCATCCATTCACCATCAGGTGGACTGTAAACATTGTTTAGTGTTTATTATGGATAAAGGGTGAAACTGATTCTATAAAAAATGATCAACGAAATAAATTATTCTGACTATAAAACTCAAAAATATCTAAAAATCAAATTTGTAAACCTTTTAATGTTTCTAAATGTAATAAGGAGTGCTGTTAGAATTTAATTATAACTCGGTCGTAGCGTCCAAATAAGAGTCTTAATCATAATTGAGGTCCGATCAATAAATTCATTAGGTTGCAAGCGGTGAAAGACGTCGCGGCGTAGCTCCTAACAATCATAAAGTCAGCGCAACAAGCTACCCGCGCGCTTTTGCACAAATTGAGGCAATCAGTGAAGCTTGGCAACACATGCATATTTTTAAATATAATATTTGCTACGTTCTATGTACCTTATAATTTAGACACTATATTACTAATAATAATTTGTCACAAATAAGTTTCGTCTGTATTTAGTTTGATTATAGTCTTATTTAGTTTAATTGATTGACGACTTGGTAGAGCAGTGGCGAAGCGTTTCGCTGCAGCGCTGCGGGCCGCCGGTTTGATTCCCGTACTTTAGAGTATTTGTATGGCCTATAATAATTGTTCCGACAGTATACGATTGTGTAACATTAGTGAGAATCGTCGTCAGAGAAAATCTTTGCCTTATGTTTTTTCATTATGATAATATTTAAAACCTAAAATAAGATTATAGGATCAACCAGCCACGTTGGAGCTATACTATGGTTGTGGCATGAATGGGTCGGCTCGATCGGGGTAGGACCACGCTCTCACAAAATACAATCGTAAAAAAGCAGCTTAATGCCTCTCTGTGTTTCGATTGGTGAGTGAACCGGGGATCCGTTTTACTGGAAACGAGGCATTCCATCTCAGTCCTCAGAGGTGATAACGCTCTCTGTGTTTCGTATGGTGAGTGTAGAGAACCGGGGATCCGTTTTACTGGAAACCAGGCATTCCATCTCAGTCCTCAGAGGTGATAACGCATCTACAATTTGATTCTAGTTTGAGGATAAATATAGATCTTTATGAGCCACAGCATCTTCTTACCATCAGGTGGACTGTGAAAAAAGACGTCGGTGTTTGATCAATACTGATACATTTACACAATTAAACGAAATTAACGATAAACGTCTAAATGTAGCCAATCACGATTCTCAACAGAGTTACACATTTCTACTGCTGGTTTAAAATTTAAATGTTTGCCCAAGTACAACTTTTTGTATGTAAAACGTCTCCACGATACAAGGAACGTTTCTAGCTATCGATGTTTATTAAAAAGGCCACTGTCAACATTGACCACTATTGTAATTAATTTACTAGTGATAGTGATAGCAATCGATTATCATATTGCTGTTCTTGTTTGATTTAAAAAAAAAACAAATACTAAACCAACCTGATAGAAGCCTACTTTTTTAACTGAAGTTACCGTGATTATTTAGGAAACAGATGGTTTTATGAATTTGAATCCCAGGAGTCAATAAGTTGGCGGTGTTCGCTCTCGTGCCTCAGCAAGCACGTAAAGCCTCCGTTCGATCTGGAGGATGTCAAGTGACGCACGATGATTAAAAAAAAAGTTTTGGAAAGAATATCTTCTCATTTTATTCCAAAAACTATTTTATAAAATGATTTAAATTTTAAGTGTCATGTCCATGTTAGAGTAACCACATTTGATAACTCTACTTCTGGAATTTTAATCATCCATAGATGATTTGTGAGAAAAACGTCTAATAAACGATAAACTGACAGATATCTAGGTTATTTCATTTTCGTTAAATTTGGATGGTAGCATAAAAATTTTTTGACAAACATAACCTCAACCATTTGTTCTGCAGTCATCATCATCACCGAGACGAGTGGCTGTCCCGGTCTTGGTGAAGGACGGGAAGCCGTGCGGCTCTGGTGAATCATCGTCTCCAGCACACAGTCACTGCGCAACCCCGACCTCTGGGTACAGTGCGCCCCAGCCGTCGCAGGCGGCCTGCAGTAACCCACTAGTGTCGTCCTACCGCCAACCTACCGCCTACCAGCAGCAGTGCTCAGGCTATCTACCGCTACAGGGTAGGGCCTGGTAGAAATTCCCACAGCTTTACCACGAGACAATGTTCAAGGAGGAGATGTACTTCGATTAAACTCTACGAAGCCATGGTTTGAATTGAAAAATATATTAAAATAAATTACACAGCACCTACTTGTCGATATTGTGTAAATTATTTGCTAGTAACATTATAAATATTAGTAACATTAATACCAAACCCTGAATCTAGTACATCGGTTGTAATTTACCGACAGATAAAATATTTTATCGACAGAAAAAAAACTGCCAGCATTATTTGCTTTGATATATTATTTACTTTTTAATTTCATATGCCTGTAATTAATTTTAAATTTCTTTTTTTTCTTTAAAAATTCAAACCAGTAAATGGCATATTTAATCCTAGGAGAACATTGTCACTGGTAAAGCGATGCTGCATGCAGCTTATAAAGTGACGTTTATGGTTCTATTAGTGATGAAGTGACGTGAACTGGATGTGATGGGATATGGATATCACGCTCTGCGAATTTCGGGAGGAGGGCATTGTGTAAATATTTAGCAATAATTAAGCACAGTTACGGATTTGACTTTATTATTTTTGTAACATTCCGTTTTACACATACAATTTAAATAGAGAAGTAAAAGTACTTCTAAATTAGAGTGTTTTTAAATCATTTAGGATTTTGCTACTGCTGTTTTTATATTTTAAAAGGATTTACAAATTAAGTGTCAAATAGCAATGGACATGTATATGAGTAGCGTAGGGGCTGAAAACTGTGTTACCTTTCACTCAAACTTCAAATCAATAAAGAAAAATAGAACACTTCGTACATAGTGACGCCGAAACCATGCTCACTGCGTGACACGTACTCACGCACTCGTCTTTCTTCTTTCTTACCTTATCGGCCCATAAATATCCTTTGCTGGACGCACATCCATCTAAAACCATTCTGTTGATTGCAAATGATTTGAGATGCGTGTTCTTAATAAGTTGAACATGGTTTTGGCGTTAGTTGAAATATGTGTAGTGTTCTGCCTGTCTTTCCGTTGGTCTGAGATTCAAACAAAATAAACCGACACTTGTATCTCATTTCCAGACTCAATCGAATTGCGTTTAGGTATTTCAACCAATTTAAAGCTCAATGCTTGCTGTATTACAAATAATACAAGCATTTAGTTGTATTTGCTGTAAATAACTGATATTGTAGTTAATTGTTGTGTGAATAGTACATAATTTATCTTTAAAACGATCAGTGTTTTGTGCGTGTGTAGATAGTAACTTGTAAATATAATGTATTGAATTAGACGAGTAGCTGTCGGTGAAATAAATTATGAAATTGTTTTGTTCAACTGTGTGGTTTCATAGTTGCCAGTGTGTGACACATCATTTGCTAATGTCATTTTTGACTTTTAATTACATTTGATTAAATTATTTAAAAAAAATGATCAAGATATTAAACATATATTTATGTTCAATTAGCATTAATCGTTCATTATCTAACCCTTGTTACACTTAATTTGCCTTTTTATAACCACCTTACGACCGAATACATTTGTATTTAAAATTGTTGTAGAAAAATTACAAGAGACAACGAATTATTTTATTGCAATTTATATAAAAAATTTATTACACCTACTGAATTTTTTATGTTAACGACAAATAATAACACCACTGTCAAAGTAATTGACGAATTTAACGTTAAATTAACAAATTAACTCGTTAAATCCGTCAATTTAAAATTCATATCAATATTTAGCAAAATTAAATAAATTTTGTCTTAGAAAAATTACCTCTAAGTTGTTTATTTTGTACTTAAGTCAGCATTTTCTTTTTGTTTCATACTAATAACGAATAGTGTAAATAGTATTTAGTAAGATCAGTTTTAGAGAATTGACAGCATAGTAGAAAATGGCGCGATAGCGTTCGAAAATGAATCATAGCAATAAGCACCTTTACTGTAAAAACTAACGCTGATTTTCAACAACAGTCAGTTGTAACAAAATAAAAATGTAATTAATGTTTTTTAACTTAATTTATACACGTTCTGACAATTAGATCGAAATAATTTCGGTTAGTTTTAGGAAAAGTTATTATGAGTAATACAATACATAACGCTATTATTAATGAAAAGGAATTTGTAATTATAATGAGAAAAGAGCTGTAATGAATTTCGATTTATAAAATTAATAAAAATTAACGAGTTTTATATAGCTTTTTATTTTTTGATTATCCCTAACAAGGAACTCAATGATATTAAAATAATTTGTAGATAAAAATTAATTGTACATACTAATTCCAGCTGCACAATTTCACCATTGCACATCGCGACAAAACTCGCGTTATACCATCCATACCATCTGGATGACTGGCGGTCCACCACTGTGCCATTTAAAAGAAGTTTTCTTCCTCGTACAACTTCCTTGTGGAATCGGCTACCACCAGAGATTTTTCCGGACCGATACGACTAAGTGACCTTCAAGAAAGGAGCCTACTCCTTTTTAAAAAGCCGGCAACGCATCTGCGATTCCCCTGGTCTTGCTGTTGTTCATGGACGGCGGTAATCTTTTACCATCAGGTGAGCCGAATGCTTGTTTGCCCCTTTCCTATAAAAAAAATTTTTGATTCTCGACACGTTTTCTGATTATTTAAAAAAATGTAAAATTTAGATATAAAATTTGCTATGTAATCTAGAAACTTTTCTATGAGTACGTACATTTCTTCTTCAGTTCGACATAATTGAGCAGATTTTACGCCAATGATCTAAATATTTTGAAGTTGTAGGACTTGTTTTATGCCTAGGAGTCCAACTGGGGAGTCCATCCTGTTATCTACGTCTGTCGCCAAATAGCAGTACCTGCACTGCTATGCTCTTGTCTGAAGGCTAGAGAGCCGGTACAGATACAAGCTGTGAGGAATTCCATCTTAGTTTTCAGTAACTGACTTACCATCAGGAGGACTGTTAGTTCGTTTATCACTTCATTTCTGCAAAAAATCAATCAGTGGCCAGAAGGCATCGCATCAGTTAATTGTGCAAGAGAATTCATAGAAAAATTTGCTATATTCTCCTAATTAAACAAGTCTTTAAATTTAATTAAAAACCATAAAAGGAGACAATCGTTTGTGGGCCCACTAGAAATATTAACGTAATTTAATGGTTTTAACTCATAAAAAATATACCATTTCACTATATTTATAATAGTAAATTGGCTAATGATTTTATGAAAATCTAACCGGAATTATAATAAAAAATAAAACAATTAAGAATACATACATATAAATCACCGCTGTTTGTTTATTCGTGAACTGTTTTCTCCTGAACTAGGTACATGTTTTCAAGTTCGAATTCAATCAGAAGGACTTGATCTATATTATAAACAATAATAATACATTAATTAATATAACATTCACTCGTATATTACAAAAAAGCGAATGTTAAGGTTGTCACAAACTTAACCTTGAAAAATATTTATATTGCTACCCTCCGTAACATCTCGACTTGTAAGCTTATTTCATTGTCTACAATATTCCCAGATTACCTCGTAATCTCTCATAATGCGTAACAGTTTATTTCGCATGGTAACATCGTCTTTGTTGTATAAATGTCAGTCACGGCCCGCCAAAAGGAAATAATAACATGACAGATACAATTTACGAAACGAGATATGTGCGGGAGAAATATATTTGATTTAAACTTTACGTACATAAACGTAAAGTTAATATTACTTTGTTGCGATTGTCAGAAAAGACTTTTTGGAATACTTTGTTATTTCGATAGAACAAAGGCGGGGAAGAGTGCACGTGTACGGCATTAAGGAGGGCACGTTAATAAAATGGCGGATTAGCTCGGAGGGACAGGTGAGGGTGGACCAAATTGAAAACTATTGGCCACTTGAATTTGTAACTATATCAGTTTCATATTACTGCGGATTCGCGTCTAACGGCATTATTTAATTTGTAGGATGCATGTTATACAACACACCATAGTTTTCTTCTACGTTCTTTCTTATTTCATATTGAAGTAATATGTACTTACGTACTAGAACAGCTATTTCACACAAAAAATGTGTGCTACTCTGTGTTCGCGCGGTTGGTTTTTTATCATAGAATAAACATAGGTAGAATGATCCGTAGGTAATAGTAGACTGTATTGTGAAATAGGTAAATTATATCAAGAACAATTTTTAAATTTTGTCATTTATTTCGTATATTATATTTGCTTATTTAATATAATATTAAATTATATATTATATCACATTTGCACTTTAACGATATTTTTATATGAATATTTTAAAAGGTATCTATGTCAAATATAAAAAACATACTAAATGTATGTTTAACAAAACTTATTAATATAACATTTAAATTACAAATACTTATATTTATTTAAATTAGAATAAGAGTCGTTTATAAATGCTGGGCACGCGAGAGTTAAAAATGGACGAATTTATTCCACTTTGACTTTGACGTGGAAACCTAAAAATAAAATAAAAGAATAATGAGCAGATTTAAATATAAAAATTTTAGCCTAATTATGATAACTTATATATGTTTCTACAAAATATAATATGTATAATAATATATTCGTCCTATACTTAAGTACCAACAGAAATGACGCATCTGAACAAATTAATGTCATAATCTATATTCCATGACACGAGATGGCGTCTTAGGAATAATTTATTTTATTATTAATCTATAATACTTTTTTATTGATTAAGTATCTTATTAACCAATGACAAGTAATTCCTTGGATTTTACTGACATTTCTTGAATTATTTGTGTAATATCTAAGTACACACGACGGCATATTTTTGTCAAGAGATGTTTTTCTAAATCAACACAACACGTGACAATTCTACAAGCGCCTAGCGAGTGACTGATTAAAGTGCGGTGTATGCACCGCAGTTGAGTAGAACAGAGTAGCTGAATGCAGTGTCGCCTCTGGTACGTAGTACATAATAGCTCAATGTTACTTCATGATTTATTTCTTCATATTTATGACCATAAATATTCTTTTATAATTTTATTATCAAGCGACAGTATCCTAAATGCAGGATGCGGATCACAAACTCAAAATATCGTGGGTTTGAATCCGCCATCCGATTATCTATAATCATGAGTCACTCCTAACACAAGCATTTTAAGCTCACCATGAGTGGTTAAAAGAAATATTATAAAATTATTTAAAAGGAAAATTAGGATATTTTAAGAAAAAACTATCATCCCGTTAGTCCACTGCTGGGCGTGAGCCTCTCCCGCTGTATGGAGCATTTGCCTTAATTGTCATTCTTAGCAGACGGATAATTGGATACCCGACTTCTAGCACCTTTGATGATGCTCCCTGTCGCCGGGCCGAGTATTTTACGTTTTTTTATAGAATAGGATGACAAACGAGCACACAGTACATCAGATGGTAAGCGGTTGCTGTGGCCCATACACATCTACATCTATCCTCGATTACAAATCAAAATGCAGATGCGTTGTCAGTTGTCACCCGTGAGGACTAAGATGGAATGCCTCGTTTCCAATAAAAGGTCCGGTTTTCGGGTTCTCTACACTCACCATACGAAACACAGCAGCATTAAGCTACTATTTTACGCTGGTACTCTGTGAGAACGTGGTCCTACCCGGTCGAGCCGACCCGTTCGTGCTACAACTATACTTCTAATATAACTGCAGCATGGCTCTACCACGTATAAAACGTCTGGTGAAAATCCAACTATCGGACCTACAGGACAAAATTGGGCGGGTGGACGCTTGGACGCTGCAAACGCACGTCTGTTTACTTAGCAGTCTTTTTATCTAGTGCTGGGTATATAAGCTGTATGAAAGGAGGCCAATTGGCGTCCACATACATTTTTTTTATAGGATAAGGTGACAAACGAGCACACAGTCCACCTGGTGGTAAGTGGTTGCTGTGGCCCATAGACATCTACATCTTTCCTTAATTACGAATTAAAATGCAGATGCGTTGTCACCCGTGAGGACTAAGATGGAATGCCTCGTTTCCAGTAAAAAGCGTCTCCGGTTCTCTACACTCACCATATGAAATACAGCAGCGTTAAGCTACTATTTCACGCTGGTATTCTGTGAGAGCGTGGCCCCTCCCCGGTCGAGCTGACCCATTCGTGCTACGACTATACTTCTAATATAACAGCAGCATGGCTCTACCATTATATATTATATTATTGAAAGATCCGTTCATACTCACTTCTAAGTGGTAGAGCCACGTTGAGCAGCATTATGGTTGTAACAAGAATGGATCGGAGACTAACATTTTGACACACTTCCATCGCACGGATTCCATCACTGTTTATTTTTGAAATTATTATGTTAATAAGCAAAGACATAAGCCTATTTAATAAAAAAAAAGAAAAAACAATCTGTTTCCTGTAGAACGGATAAAGTTGAAACACCATAGGTTAGCAAAAACTAGTAAACATTTTCTGATTAAATACATGAAAAATTCTCTGAAAATTTATAATGAAACAGTCTGACTTAAAATTAAAAAATACGGTTGACCCTGCAAGCCATCACTGAAACTTCCCGCTTATTTTTGTTTTAATTTTCGTTTTTTTTTAAATCTTTGAAACGGCTCGACCGACTGACTTAAAAATCTAATCAGCTTGAAGTCTCAATGAACACTTTCGAACGCCCATCTCAATCGGTTGATTCGTTTTAAAGATATCCTACGACAAAATTTACATACATAAAACATACATACGTATATTCTGTTAAAAAGGCTACTGCCTGCAGAATAGACCAAAATATTGAGGACAACCCGATGGGGAAGAAAGGTTCTTGAGTGGCAGTCTCGTACCGGTGGGCGTAGTGTGGGGCGACTCTCCACTAGATGTAGTGACGACCTGGTAAGACATGCAGGAAGTCGATGGATGTAGGTGGCTCAGGACCGTGCTTTGTGGCATTACTTGGGGGATGTTGGAGGATGTCCTATGTTTAGCAGTGGACTTGATGCAAAAAATAAATCACTGATATGATATTATTCCATTAAAATTGACATTAAAAATATTATTTTACATTTTTTAAATGAAATTATAGCATTGGATTCTAGAAACAATAAACTCCATAGTTTCTTGACGGCTTTTTTCTGAGAAGATGTATATTTTTGACCATATGTCCCCTTGGGCGTCTTTAGAGGCGAGAAATGGAAGAAAAGCAAATGAGAAGCTGCGTCTTGCTAATAAACAAAAAACCCCTATAAAATATCCTTCTTATGCTATATACAACATAAGATTTTGACTTCATTATTTATTAGATATTAGAGTTTGTTGTTTTTTTGATTTGAGAAATTGAAGAAAAAGTTTTATTTTGACATCTTTTTATATAAAACTATACATCCGTCCGGGCTTTGCACGGAAGCTTTTTGGACCTAGATAACAGTGCCACCTGCTGAGTCCAATTGTGATTCTAGCTCACCCACTCAACATTGTTTGGGAGGAGTTCAGTGACCAATACATGTACCTACAAAAGGTTTATACCTAGATATATATATATAAAGATGGAATGACAAACGAGGCAATAATCTACTATATGGTAAGTTGCCACTGAAGCCTATGGACACATCAACAACTACCAACATAGAAGACCACAGATTTATCAAGCCAAAGAACTAACACGAAATACCTTACAGTCTACTACTATCTCTCCCACTCTCTAATTTGGAACACAGCAGCTAGTGCACTGGTACAAGACGTCTCGAACGGATTTCTTATTAATCAGCTGATTAGATATCTAGATGATACCAACTCAGTCGTGATGCTAGGCAGAAAAAAATAACAGTTTTTGAAGTTATCTCTATTTTTTTTTAAAAAATCATCCATATATTTAAATCTACATCTATTCAATAAAGCCCCCTCTAATTTAATCAAAACATAGACTAAATTTTTCCTAGAAGTATAATAAATCGTCTGTTTAATTAAAATTTATTAATTTCATTAAAATAAGAATTTTCCAGGATCGTAAATACAAAGTCAAAATATTGCACATATCGAATGCGAAACGGAGGGATTGGGCATTACTGTCGATTTGACAAAGTCCAAGTTACCAGCTCTCAGGTTTAATATTTTACACTGTACAAATACACGATAGTTTCATACGTGGTAAATCCACGATGTAGCTACTCGTATATTATAGTTGTAGCACGAATGGATCGGCTCGACCGATGAAGGACAACTATCTCACAGAATACCAGCGTAAAATAGCAGCTTAATACTGCTGTGTTTCGTATGGTGAGTGTAGAGTTCCGGAGGACCCTTTTTTACTGGAAACGAGACATTCCATCTTAATCTTCAAGGGTGACAACCAGTGACAACGCATCTGCATTTTGATTTTTAATCAAGGATAAATATCTATGGGCCACATTATCCACGTACCATCAGCTGGACTGTGTGCTTGTTTGTCACATGTCCATTCTATATAAAATACACGAAAAAAAGCAATTTAATATTAAGAGAAAGATTCAATCACACATTCACAGCTGAACACAGGCCTCCGCCAGAGAATGCCACAAAGCAGGGTCCTGATCCACCTGGATCCATTGACTTCCTGCATGTTTTACCAGGTCGTCACGTTGGTGGGGTGCTGCCCCACACTTTGCCTACCGGTAGGAGGTTGCCACTCGAGAACCTTTCTTCCCCATCGGTAGTCGGTTCTTAGAGCTATATGGTCTGTCCATTGTCACTTCAGCTTACAAATCCGGAAAAAAGAGGAAATACTTAATAAATAAATTTGTTTTGATAATTTGTTTTATTCTTTTGCTTTATTTTCACTATACATCGCAGTAGGAACTTACTGTACCTATCTAAACAAAGACAAGTAATTAGAGAGTAACAATACAGAGCCGGCCTCCACCGGAAGCGCTAATTAGACAAAGGCGGATGTATTGTGACGGCACCAACATGGCGGCAGCGCATTGTGAGCGTCGCTCCATCGATCGCCCGATACGGCACGTAGTCGGGGTTGCCAGTTTCCGTTGCTGAATTACCTACCGGATATTGCAAAATATAAGCTAATTGCATTCGTAAAATACTAATCAAAATTCATATCATCTATAAGATTAAATATAGGAGTAAATATAAAGTAAAGAAAAAAGTTTATAAGTCACTCCGACAATAATAAATATTGATATGTTTTACGGACTTTATCGCGATTAAATTATTTATTTTTATACTCCTGAAGTTTCTAGTCCTTTGTAGTACCTATGGTTATGGAACTAAGAAGGTATTTTGCGATGTGGAGCATGTGAATGAAAGTCTCGTTGCGATGTTTGAAACAAGACTGCTTTATTAAGAATATTACCTACAGATCTTATATACTTAATTCTAACAAAGAAAGGTTAATAATGATTCCGTTAGTTTCAAGTGACAGTTTCCAATGACCATCTTCAACTTACAATCTTGACTCCTTACATGGACTAAGTTACATAGAATAGTCTCGAATATAATTCTCAGTAGAAATGGTATTGAATTACAGTGTTTCTTATAATTTCTTTACTTGATTCTTTTACCTATGCACCTACCTCCTACCTACACAATACAGTTTGACGTTCAGACGTTATGGTCAACATTCCCCTTTATACTCATTTTGCATTATATTGAAAAGTTTAATAATTTTATACTTTCGCGGTAACCTCTTTTTTTGGCTCAAGGAAATCAAAAAACCCCCGATTTCGATGAAATTTTTTAAAATCTTCGTTTTTATGGCGGATTTATGGAAAAAAATATGGAAATATCTCACCTGCAGATTTCATATAGTTTTATGACTTTAAATGTGATCAATAAACGCACTTCTTGGAATATAATCGTTCATAACTTTTTTGCAAAGCATTAAACGAAGTTTATATTTTTTCATTCAATTATTTATAAAAAAAGTTATCAACAATTATACGTGAATGAGTGCATTTTCATGAACATTTAAAGCCCTGAAACCAATATAAGTTTTATTTTTATTCCTGTATATTTTTTTCGTAAATCCGCCGTAAAATCGAAGATTTAAAATAATCATCGAAATCGGACGAATTTTAGATTTTCTAGAGTCAAAAAAACGAGGGAACCGCCATAGTATAAAATTAACAAAGTTTCTCCAATTATCTAGCTCTAACAATCTAAGTCTAAAAACCAGTTCTACTTAATTCTTTTTTTTTTTGAATAGGTGTGTCAAACGAGCACCACTCCACCGGATGGTAAGGATACTGGGGCCACAGACATCTGACTCCTCCGTCCTACGAAACACAGCAGCACGAAGCTGCTATTTTTGGCTAGTTTTCTGCTGTTTAATTTTTGTCGATGACATGACGATCTTTTTTGGCAGAATAACAACTGAGAATCACAAATAAATATATACTTTCTATATTTTTACTATACTAGCGATCTGCCCCGGTTTCACACGGGTGATATCTGGATTCTACAACAGCACCACCTACTAGCTCCAACTATACCTGCAACCTTCACGGAAGAGCAAGAAATATGTTGACAAAGTTTGAGCGCAATCTGATGAGCGGTATGGCATTGTTTTACCTCGCTACAACGGAGGGCTGATGTGGGTAAAGAAAAGTCGAACAAGAATTTCATCGTTTCTTTCTTTGTTAAGAAGCATGGTGCTGCATTTTTCTTGACAAACGGAATTAGCTCATACGGAAAAACATATATTAATTTTTATATATTACATAATATTATATTTACTACACTATAGTGCTGCATGGGTTTCTCACGTGAGGATTTAAGTCGATCCTCTATTAGAAAGAAATTTAATAATTGCTTGACTATTATCCCACTATTAAATATGGCTAAAGATTTTAATTTACAACCCATATACCTACTTCCCACAGCTGGGCACAGACCTTGTCCCATTTCTGGGACGGTTTTAGGGCAAGGGAAGTTTACAGCGCTGCCCCAATGCGTGTTGGCAAACTTCTCATGTTTCTGAAATATTTTTGCTCGTACATGCAGGTTCCTCACAATGTTATACTTCACCACCGATCACGTGGTAAATCAGCACTTAAATTTGCATTTAACAATTTCATCGGTATCGGTAGCGATCAAAGATACGAGACTGCGTTTATTTTTATTAATAAGGCTGGAAGAAAGATGAGAACAAAAGTAGTATCGTAGCAGTCTCGCTTGGCACTTAATTCTAGTTGTTACTAAGTAGACGCCGCTGGTTTCCCTCTGTCGCTCCTTACGACGCTCACAGGAAGATATGAGCCTCTACACGGTTAATATGTATATATGAAGTAATTTGAAAAATTCCATATTACAAATGATTACCCGGGTGATCTTCGCCGCGTGGCAACCCTATATGCTTGTATGTGCATTTTGTAAATAGGAAGACAGCTTGCATTTTGTGTAGATCAATACAATCGAGTGGCCGAGTTATAAAACAATACAACGATGTATATATAAATATATATTCTATAGATACTTTAAGTAAACAAAATATGTATGTGTTATGGAAAAACATTGTGAGGAACCTGCATGTACGAGCAAAAATATTTCAGAAACATGAGAAGTTTGCCAACACGCATTGGGGCAGCGCTGTAAACTTCCCTTGCCCTAAAACCGTCCCAGAAATGGGACAAGGTCTGTGCCCAGCTGTGGGACGTAGGTATATGGGTTGTAAATTAAAATCCTTAGCCATATTTAATACTTACATTATAAGGAAAAACAAATTTTCCCTCTTAGTGTGTTTTACTGTACATCGTTACTTTAAAACTGTGTGAATTAAAACGATATTGAAACTTATAAATGTTACCATCACGGGTATGGGACGTGGGATAGTAGTCAAGCAAGTATTAAATTTCTTTCTAATAGAGGATCGACTTAAATCCTCACGTGAGAAACCCATGCAGCACTATAGTGTAGTAAATATAATATTATGTAATATATAAAAATTAATAAATTTAAATGGCTCTAACAATTTGGATGGGAACTTGCATTTGGAAAGTAAAATATTATCAAAATGCAAATTATTTAGTTAGTTTAGTTCTTTAGTTGAGCTAAATTGGTTTAATTCCCGAGAAAATTACATACTAGGTACATTGTATAACTGCGCGCAGAACTTGGTCGCCCAACTTTACTGTAACACATAATGCGAGCAGTTTTTGTAGGTAGATTTTTCGACCGACTTCTGTAATTTTTTTATGTGTTTTACCTTATAACTTTTTCTAAGTGAGCCGATTTTGATGATTCTTTTTTTATTTGCAAGCTGGTGCTTCTCATGATCAAATTTATATGGGATCTAATCTAAATGTGATCAAAATATGAGCCGTAGTTTTTCAGTTATCCTTAATAATACATATTTAATTGACTTTGGCTACATTGATGATCTTCTCATTTTATTTATATCTTTAGAAGTCGGTTGTACAAATTTTTTATTTTACCACTTGTTTTAGAAAAAAGGTAATGGACGAGCATACAGTTCACCACACCACAGCACTCTGTGATGGTAAATGGATGCTGTGACCCATAGATAGGTATCTACATTCATTCCCAATTAAGAGTCAAACCAGATGCGTTGTCACCTCTGAATACTAAAATGGAATACCTCGTTTCTATAAAAAGGGTATCCGGTTCTACAGACTCACCATACGGCACAACGCAGCGTTAAGCTACTATTTTACGCAGGTATTCTGTGAGAGCGTGGTCTTTCCCCGGTCGAGCCGACCCATTCGTGCTACAACTATACTACTACTATAATTGCAGCATGGCTCTACCACGTATGTATGCAGTACCCGACCCATTGTGCTACAACCATAATATTATAGCTGGAGCATAGCTCTACCACGTACAAAAATAATGTTTTACTATCCAAGTTTAGATAAATACGTGTCTGAAAAAATTACTTTAAATTTTAAGGAAGCAATACTTAAATAATAAGAATATATACGTAAAAAAAAAGGAAACGGCCATAGCCGCATAATGTTTACTTCCAAAGTTTATCTAAGTACCTAGGTGTCATCCCTGAGGTTTTTTTTTCTATCGTGGAGTGAAATTGGGTCGTCCAGGTACGGTATATTATTAAGTGAACTCATTAATTACATACCTGTAATATTTGTATCTACATAAACGTTGTCTTTTAGCTGCCATGTGGTGACGCAGAATTCATTACCTCGAGAGAACATGATTGTGATATGCCTGAAATATCTTATGACTTCTTATAAATGGCGTTATACGTAAACGTAATATAGTAAATGGCGTAGGGTACGAGATTAATACGTGGTAGAGTCACGCTGCACCTATATTATGCTTTAGCACGAATGGGTCGGCTCGATCGGGGAAGGACCACACTTTCACAAAATACCAGCGTAAAATAGCAGCTTAATCTGCTATTTTTTCGTATGGTGAGTGTAGAGATCCGGAGACCCTTTTTTACTGGAAACGAGGCATTCCATTTTAGTTCTCAGGAGTGACAACGCATCTGCATTCTGATTCTTAATTGAGGATAAATGTAGATGTTGGGCCGCAGCATTCACTTACCATCAGGTGGACTGTGTGCTGGCTGGCGTTTGTCACCCTTATTCTATAAAAAAGATGTCAATATGCGATCGTCAATCAGCCTCCCCAACTTGACAATACAGGCAAATCCTCGCTACAATGGAAGGCCGAATGAGGTAAAGAACAAATCTATCGTTTCTTTCTTTGTCAAGAAGCGTGGTGTATTGCATTTTTTTTTGACAAACGAAATTAGCTCACCTGGTAAATGATCACCGCCGCCCATGAGTATCTACTAAAAAAAGTAGAAAAAGTGATATACACTCTGTAAACACTAGGAACAAACACAAACTGGTGCTACCAGTTTCTCGACTTCACAGAGTCAGTAATTCATTCTTGGGCAATGTATACGCTATTATAACAAAGTCCCAGAAAATATACAAGGTCTCTCTATTACCAAGCATAAATATTTAATTAAACAAAAACTATATAAAAAGGGTTATTATAATATAAATTAATACATGGTTGATAATAATTAAATAATAATTATAATAATAATTGTACATGGTAGAGCCATGCTGCAGTTATATTAGAAGTATAGTTGTGGCACGAATGGGTCGGCTCGACCGGGGAGGGACCACGCTCTCACAGAATACCAGCGTGAAATAGTAGCTTACCTAATGCTGCTGTATTTCTTATGGTGAGTGTAGAGAACCGGAGACCCTTTTTACTGGAAACGAGGCATTCCATCTTAGTCCTCACGGGTGACAACGCATCTGCATTTTGATTCGTAATCGAGGATAGATGTGGATGTCTATGGGCCACAGCAACCACTTACCATCAGGTGAACTGTGTGCTCGTTTGTCACCCTATCCTATAAAAAAAAAAAAATCCCTGGAAATGAGGTGATCGCTTTTTACGTGGTAAGCCCGGGGAAAGACCACGCTCTAACAGAATAACAGCGTCAAATAGCAGCTTAATGCTGTCTGCTGTGTGGTCCTCTGCACTCACGATACGAAATACTCACAAAACTACGTATAAGACTTAATAAAAACGCGGTAAAATAGTTTTATTCCATGTGTGGTGCTCGCGTAAATATAAGAAACTAGCTTTTACTCGGCGCGTTAAGCCACAGAAGATATAATTGTGGAAATATTATTTTAAATTTGAACTCGTAAGAGTTACATTTCTACAGTTCGCTCAACAGAGAGGCTCACAATATTTTTACGTTCTTTACATGATAATAATTTACTAGCTAAAATTAAGGAACCACCTCTAAAAACCGTTTCTCTACAGAAAGAACTGAACACCTGGTGATTACTAAAGTTAAACATTAAGTTATAAGCTGTAATCAATGTTGAGTAATATATAATATGAATGTTGTTGCTATTTAAGAACAATTCAATATCTAGCTCTTTGCCTCATCATGCCTTGTATATTCTGATGCACCTGGTGTAAACAATTTTTATTATCATTTTGTGGAGTTACAATTGCAACTATTAAGGATTTGTAAGCTATATTCTTTTATCTTTTAATTTAAATTATTATAACTGCTAGAGATCACCTCTATTGTCTCATTTTCTAATTTAATTTATTTGGAACTGATTCCAAATTGCATGTCAAATCATTATGCTGCTCAATAGGAGCAGATGTCTGGGTAGCCAAGTCCTTGGCTGAGTTAATATATAACTAATATGATAGCACATTTGCTATCTGTCTTAAATTATATTTGGATAGGTAATACCTATCTGCAGTAAACCATAACCTGAGGAAACATACCACTCATTAGGTCGCGATAAAACTTTGACAACTTAGTGTTTGCACTTACGCGAAAGTTCAGGCATAGTATCTACAATATACTTACAGTAAAAGGCGCACGTATCGTGGCGATATATTTATTTGAAAGTTATATAACAACATCATTATCATTCCTAATAAAACAATATAACTCTTACAAAAATAAAAAATAAAATAAATGATATTTCCACAATCATTTGTTCTGTGGCAGCAACGTGCCGAGTACCAGCTAGTTTCTTATATTTACGCGAGCACTACACATTGAATAGAACTATTTTACCACGTTTTCATAAAGTCGCTTTCTTGTTTGTGCGTCGGTTTGTCGTTCCAGGTCGAATTTAGTAATAGATTTTAAACTAATATTCCGATCAGCTGGAAACTTGAAAAATATGCATTGATTAAAACTACTTTTACGGATTTTATCGGGTTTAATTTTAAATGATTTTTAATATCTGACGTTTGGGTGCTTTTCATGAAGTCTGCAGTTTGTCATCATATCCTAGGTGGCCCCAACCATTACATCAGATTTATCAAATCTGATGTAATGGTTGGGGCTCAGAACATTCTACAAGCCGCCGAAGAAGATTAGTCAGTTCTTACCATCCGTCAAGTGTCATATTCCTCTACAAGATGCAGGAGTGTACAAGCTTGATTGTGATTGTGGTCTCTCATATATAGGCACAAAGACAATAACCAAAAGAACACATAGCTGACGTGAAGCATCAACATTCCGGGAAGTCTGCAGTTTGCGCTCATATTCTAGAGGGCCCCAACCATTACATCAGATTTGATAGACCACAAATCCTCGCGAAAGAACATCGATCCCTACCAAGGATGATACGTGAGGCTATTGAAATTAAAAAACACCCTAATTTCAATTGAGAAGGAGCCTGGATGCTACTACCTGCTTGGTACCCTGTAATTAATAAAATTAAAACTAAACCCAAGCGTACCACTGCAAGACTTCAAGCCAGAGTAAGTTAGTTCTGCATAGATCGGACCATACACAATAATTAAAAAGCTAAAGGTAGGTACTCCGGGTTAACATTGACATCCGGACGTCAGTCACCTCAGTCACCTGTGATCATGGGTGCCGGAAAGCACCCGATACATCGAGAATTAAAAATCATTTTGAAATTAAACGGGATAAAATCCGGAAATGTAAGTTGGGACAGATTGTTATAAATATAAGACCATTTATGTACACTCAGTTGGCAAATAAAGATTTGATTGATTAACTTTCAAAACATTATCGTAATAAAAGATGCGGTTGCAGGGTCATTATCACCTGCTTACGATGTACCAGGTGTCAGAAACACAGGGATAATAGTGCAAAACTATACCCGTAAGTCGAATGTTTTAGTTTACAATAATTATTCAAACTGAAATAGGACTCAGTATTTACGAATAGTTTTAATTAGCTGCAAAGTCTCGTGAAGTGGCTAGTTTTAATTAGCTACAAGGTCTCATGAAGTTTCTCTGGTCATCTACTAGCCTATATCATCTCATGGATGTTGTAAGTAGCGACAGAGGCAAACTGATACCGGCAGCAGTATCTTCTCGATAATATTACAAGCGTGATCGAGATAAAGATCCTTTTTACTGAAAACGAGGAATTCCATCTTAGCTCTCAGGGGTGACAATGAATTCTGTATTTTGATTCTTAATCTAGGATAGATTTAGTTGTCTATGTTTGCGCGTTTGTTACCCTTATTCTACATTTAAAAAAACCTGTCAGTTCGTTTTCCGACAAGTAACCAATATTTGTAGACATATCGTTCTAGATTTGGGTGTGTGTCTCTGTTCACCATAACACACCCGAACTAGTACGGGAAAACTTCATTTTTTTTAAAAGGCGGTATTTAAGCCAAATTTAAATGCATTCATGCAAAAATTCGTTCTAAACTCTTAAATAAAGATATTGTCTAAACCATTATTATGGAATAAAACGTATTTCCCCTGTTTTCCCCTTGGTGAAATTTGCGAACTGTGCACCGTCGATCTGTAAACAAATTTGTTGAATATTATTCGCGATCGAGGGTTCCCGGCGCCATGAATACACCCCAGGGAAGGGGTGAACCACCATTAAGCCGAGACTTAAGATTTTCGATTCATAGGGTTAAGATGGTCGTCTTAGAATTTAAATGCATGGGGTTGGATGTAATGTTCGTGTAATTGGTGTAGGCGTATGATTTATTGTACATACAATACTAAGGTATATTTTTTAAATGTATGCCTATGAATCGATCATGTGCATTAAAGAATTCATACTATTTCGGCACAGTAGATATATTTTGCTGAAAACACCAGCATCCATGGAGAGGGATATGCTTGGAGTTTCTCTGCTTGATAGACTCAGAAATGAGGATATCCGCAGTAAAACCAGAGTGACTGAGATAGCCCAACGGATTAGTAAGCTGAAGTGGCAATGGGCCGGCCATATAGCTCGAAGAACCGATAACCGATGGGGAAGAAAGGTTCTCGAGTGGCAGCCTCGTACCGGTAGGCGTAGTGTAGGGCGACCCCCCACTAGATGGAGTGACGACCTGGTAAGATATGCAGAAAGTCGACGAATGCAGGTGGCTCAGGACCGGAACTTGGGGGAGTGTTACTTGGGGGAGGCCTATGTTCAGCAGTGGACTTGTGAAGGGCTATAATGATGATGATGATGAATTTCTATATGAAAATAATAAAAAATAACATGGTAAAAATCACCTCAATCTCAGAGGTTATTGTTAGTCATATAGTCTTTAATAGTACAAACTTTTAAGCGACTTTAGTAAACCAATAACTATTTGATAGATAGGTTCTGCATATTTTCTGGGACTTTGTACTGTTAGAGCCTATTATATTACCACATGAAAGAATTACCGACTCTGGAGTAGATGTAGCT